CCCATAGACACTTTGGCCCTAGGTGCACACATATAAAAGCATATGGAAACGATAATATACAATTTAAAGAATGAAATGATTAAGGAATTGGTATTAAAAAAAGTCGGGATTTTTAAGATATAAAATGATTTTAATTTTCAGAAATAACTACAGTTTTCTTTCTTATTCATCATTTTATTGTTATTCTCACATACAATATCAAGTTATATGTAGTTGTTAGGTATTTTATGATCATACATCATTTGTGTCATACACAATTAGCACATCATCCAGGAATTGAGCCGGAGGAAAAATATTTGTTTGATGTCGTGCCCAACCCAAATACCATATTACTGTCATTATATGGGCACAACATCCTACCGTTCGACGGCCAACAATACAGTTACAACAATACTTTTTAATTGCACTTCTGCCAGAATCATTGCCACTAATTAAAATATATTTAAAATATATTTTTCGACTGATGTGCGATTCTAGCCCTAGGTAAAGAGCAGTTAGGACTAAGGTGTATTCCTTCCATAATACTGCTCCTATGGTCAATACATATTTCTATGTGGTAGCAACCATTAGCTCTTATATGCTCACCATAATAGGAGCGAGCTTGCTTTAATTGGTATATACCACAAGCAATTAGTACTAGGTCGCTGTAAGTTAAAATAGGAAATTCCCTAACATTTTCGGAGCCTACGTTTATATTTCTAAAGTCTGCCCTAGCTCTATTAAAATAAATAATATTAGCACTAATATAATGAAATCATAATAATTACCGAAAATCGAATAATATAGCTATAAAATAATGGCTGTGTTTGGCAGAAAATAACGCTAGGAAGCGCTTATGAGCGCTTACTAGCGCTGACACAGTTTTCGGCCAGGACACGTTTGCTAACTTCAGTAGCGCTGACACAAACAGCCATTTTGCTTATTTATTTTGTTTGTTTTAAAAGTAGAATTTATAAGATGTTTTGTGCAATTAGTTTCAATTAATATTAAAATAAATATTAATGTCAGTCCAAAAAATAGTAAAATTAGTAATTGGGAACACTTAATATTATATCAGAAACCAATGAAATACGGATAAACGTAATTTCACTTTTATCTTTTCGGTACTTTTATTTTCTGTTTAAATATTGCAGACCTGTGAGGATAAATGAATACCCCAATTAATAAATAGAAAATAAGATGGTTTTTTCTAACAAAAGCAAATTGTTGGGCGTTTTATGGCCGAAAATGGGCATTCCCCTTTACCATACAGAATGGTATCAAAGAAATGTACAACCAACACTTTCACTGTAGCGCATCAAAATATTCAAGGAATGTCTAGTAAGCACCTAGAAATTGAATTGTTCATGAGCTGTGACAAAATTGATATTCTTTGTATTACAGAACATTGGCTAAAAAGTCATCAGCTCATGTTCAACTTCAGTAATCATATATTAGGTAGTTCGTTCAGTAGGGAGCGTGCTGTACATGGCGGTTCATTAATTTTTATTAGAAAGGATTTAACTTATAGGAACCGTACTGATATTTTAGGCTTCTCTGCTGAGCGGACAATAGAAATAGCATGTGTGGAGTTAGAGCAACTTATTGTATTGAGTGTATACAGGCCTCCATCCTCATCATATATTAGTTTTGAAAAAATTATGAACGAAGTCTTGCAGAAAGTATGTAAGTCAAACAAAAGTGTAATTGTGTGTGGTGATTTTAATGTAAATATATTGGAAGATACATCCTTGAGTTCAAGATTTAAAAACCTATTTGGGTCATACAATCTTGATAATATTTTTTTGGAGCCTACTAGGATCACAGCCACCACAGCCATAGTGCCATACACCAAAGGAGTAATAAACAAACTAAATTCTGATCACTGTGGACAGATGTGTGCTTTTGCTATGAAAAAACAGAATGGTGGTAACACGAGATATTACTGTAGTACCTAAAACTGTAACTCGTATGGAAAATTTCAAAAATAAACTCCTTAGTAAACTACCCCACTTGGGTTATAGTGATGATCCTAATCAATTATATAACGCTTTTTTTAACATGTATTGTTCAGAATTTAAATCAACTTTCACTCCTAAGAAGTTGTCAGTTAAAGGTGCTACAACCTTCAGTGAATGGGCCACCATAGGTATATACAAAAGTAGAACAAGGCTTTATGAGCTTTATGAAGAAAGAAATTATAATACTAGTATGGAATTTCGAGAATATGTCAAACAATATTATAACTTATTTAAAAAAAATTGTTATTCTGCAAAAGTTAACTATTTGAGGTCTAAAATTAGTAATAGTTCAAATAAAATTAGAATGACCTGGGAAATAATTAATGGTAAATCAAAGAACAAATGTAATAATTACAGCCTTACTATTGATAATAAAGTAATTAATTCCGATATAGATGTCGCCACAGCTTTTGAAAAATTTTTCACAGACATTCCAGTCTCAATAACAGAATCATTGAATTCGTCCCCCACTATTGCAGAATCTTTATTGAAAGAGAATATTAACATTTGTAATACTAAGTTTAGATTTAGTTGTATCACTGATAGATATATAATAAAAACGTTCAATGCTCTTAGTGTTAAGAAAACCGCCGACCTTTGGGGTAATTCTGTACAAATAACTAAATCAATTATTAGCGTAGTTGCATCAGAGTTGGCCTTAATTTTCAATAGGTGCATTGAATGTGGTGTATTTCCTGATTTGATGAAACATAGTAAGATCATTCCCTTATTCAAGGCGGTTAGCACGTCTGATCCTACAAATTATAGACCAATTTCAGTGTTGCCTACTTTCAGTAAAATTTTTGAGAAGATTATACTGGATCAGTTACAAACTCACTTTAGTGCAAGCAAAATTCTACACAGGAAACAGTTTGGATTCAGAAGAGGTCGCTCGACAAGTGATGCCGGTGTTGAACTTTTGGAAAATATATTTAGTGCCTGGGAGGATAAACAGGATGCCCTGGGTGTTTTTTGTGATTTATCTAAAGCAATTCGACTGCTTTTTTCATGAAACATTAATCAGGAAATTGCATTACTATGGAATTAGGAACACTGCTTTGGATCTTCTTATCTCTTATTTGGATAATAGGATCCAGAGAGTGGAATGTAATGGACAGAGATCCCTGGGGTCTCTGGTCACTATGGGGGTTCCGCAGGGCTCAATTCACGGCCCATTTTTATTTCTTGTTTACATAAATGACCTACCTAATGTGATAAATGATAATCAGGAGATAGTGCTATTTGCGGATGACACTTCACTGTTATTTAAACTTAAACTACAGAAATCAGTAACTGATGACGTGAATAGCACTCTCTTTAAGGTTGTGAACTGGTTTAATGTTAATAATTTACTTTTAAACGAGAATAAAACGAAATGTATTAGATTTTTTACACCTAATGTTAAGCAGGTAAAGACCAATGTTCTCATAAATGGAAAGATCTTGTGGACACCACCAAGTTTTTAGGTATAACACTAGACTCTAAATTGCAATGGGGCCCACACATTGACGGATTGTCGAATAGACTCAGCTCTGCAGCATACGCGGTTTACAAAATTCGTCAATTAACCGATGTAGAAACAGCTAGACTGGTGTATTTTAGCTATTTTCATAGTGTAATGTCATACGGTATTTTGTTGTGGGGAAATGCTGCTGACATTCAAAGTATCTTTGTGTTGCAAAAGAGAGCTATTCGTGCAATTTATAATCTCAGTTATAGGCAGTCACTGAGGGATAAGTTTAAAGAAATTGGTATCATGACAGTCGCATCTCAATATATATATGAAAATTTAGTGTATGTAAAGAACAATAATCATTTATTCACAAAGTTTAGCGACATGCATAAAATAAACACTAGAAATAAAGATAAACTCGTGTTACCAACCACTAGGCTACAAAAAGTAAGCAAGTCTTTTCGTTGTCAGGGTGTGCGATTTTACAATAAAGTGCCAAGCAAATTCCATGAATTAAGTATTAATAAATTTAAGTCTTTAGTAAAGCTAAAACTATGTGAAAAGGCTCACTACACTATTACAGATTATTTAGACGACAAATTTGCTTGGGATTGATGCTGCTCACTCCCACATTTACGTAGACATCTTTGTTGTTAAGTTTGAAAGTGATGGACATTTAATTATTTTTTTTTTGGTGTATTTCGTATTTTGTTTTTGTATTTTATTTTTCGTTGACTTTGAACTGTATAGTATTTTTTTTTTATTTTATATATATATAGTATATAAATGTGAGTACAGTGTAGGCTTGTAATGTTAATTCATATTTTATTATCTTTCTGGTGGTTTTGAGTGTTTCCACGGCCTACCCAAATGTCCTGCTGGCGGTAGTGTCATGCTTCGGGTCGTTGATCTTGACCAATATCGGTTAGGCTACACGATGGCTGGAGCCTGTATGCCGTCTGTATGGACAGGTTGACTCAAAACTATGGTCCTTTCCTCAAAAGGCCTATCCAGACCCTATACTGTACTCGCACAGTTTTATTTAACTTTGTTTACGGACTTAAAAAAAAAGACACCTCTGTGGTTTGTTTCGGCGTTTCTTCCCAGAGTGAGTCTTAGGAAATGCCGGCTCCTTCTAGCTATAAAGTCCGACTTGTAAAAATATCTGAAAAGATTTACTTACACAAATAAATATCATTTCATTTCATCATTTCATTTCATTTCGAAACGTCTACTCTGTATGAGTAATGTATTTCTTTGAATGAACATCCTGAAGCTAAATATCTGAAAAAAAAGTATTTTTTGTTAATACATTATTACTTTATACGTCACCAAGAAATAAATTGTATTGTTTTATGATCTTTTTTTATTGATTTCAGGAAAACAGGTTTCAACTAAATGGAATAATATACGAGATTCGTGGCTTAAGACAGTAAAGAAACAAAAAGATGAGTCTAAATCTGGATCTTCGGCCAAAAAGACACGAAATTATTTATATCACGAGCAATTAAAGTTTTTGAAAAAAGTCTCCGAACCTCGACCACCACATGAGTCAGTTTCAAAAAAAAGCAAGAACTGAGACTGAAGTAGGCATGGAATCAGATTTTCGTTCACCTTTAATTAAAGATAAAAGAAAAATTGATAATAAAGAGGTAAATGACAGGATGGTAAAGTTTTTGGACTCCAGAATAAACCCAGAAAAGGAAAACCATCATCTGTCTTTCTTCAAAGGCATTATACCAATCTTGAACACTTTAACTATCGAAGAGACTTTAGAATTTCAAGCTAGCGTCATGACAATGTTGCAAAAAATTAAAAGTAGGAATTATGAGAGACCAAATTACGGACATTGGCGTGATTCATATAATCAGATGACCGGACCAGATCAGTATTCTGGATACTACACACATAATAGCGTCAATCAACAGGCAACACCTACGCAAGATCAACACTACCCTGGATACTCTACGCAATATAATAGTAGCTATCAACGGGCAACAACATCTATACCTTAACTTCATCTTAGACATCGAATCCGATTCCAGCTTCGCCATCAGCATCTAGTAATCATTCCATACATTCCCAAGACTCGGATTACTTAGATTTTAAAGGGATTTAAGTTTGAGTATGAATAAATACTTAAATAAGTTATTTGCATTTTTAATTCGTAATGATTAGCAAATACATACACCCTCCCACACACACACATTATATATATTCACATTCATCAAACAAACATACATAGCAAACATTCATTCATTCATTCAGTCTTAAGTAGGTACCTACGTCAAAACTATTATTACGCAATCTAGTGCATAAAATAATTTTACCTTAGACATATGGCTAATCTTTGTTCTGGGCAAATACATTCTCTGAAACTTGTATCTCGTACTCTTATGTCTAGTCGTCCCAGTAAATCGTCAAGTGGTTGCTGTCATTCGAAAATAATTGAAGAACTTTGATTCGTTTCTTCTAAGTTCACCCATTAATGTTTCAAATGTTCCAAGTGAAAATCTTTCCCGTAAAATAGGGTGTACCCAATGTTTTCTTTTATTTTGCCTTCTATTAAGATACCACCACAACATAACAATTTCGTCGTCCATTGTGCGCGCAGGTCCAAATTCAACTGAGGTAGTACTTGACTGTCTGAATTTCTTCCGGGATCCGATGTAATGTGAACACTCTGTCCGGTGTCCGGTTTCCGGCAGATCTGCCGGTCCGGCGTAGTGGGAACGCTGCCTTAGTTTCTATTAAAGTAGTAGTTGTTTAGATATACTACTATAAACGAGAGGAATCGATCCGGAAATATTCCATTTCCGTATCAAATAATTTCGCAACGTCACTATTTAGTACTTGTCATAACGTTGCAACACTGAAATTGTCAAATCTGGAATCGAATTAAAAGGTATACTTTAAACATTAACACATATATTATATATTATTATTTATTTACAATATTTACACTTATTCTACACCTAAAATATTATTTACAAACTACGAGTATATACATCATTAATACACACGTTTATAATATAAGTACATCATAAATAAATATTACATTTCACAGCGATACATATCGGTTTGTCGATATGTTTGCCTATAAATTCTATCGACACATCCCTTTCACTATGCTATCTAAGGCGCTGTATGCACGAGCGAGAGAATCGCGGCGATATTATCGTCGTGCCACGTATTTCTATATACTCTCTATGAACGCGTCTTCACACGGCGATGTTATCGCGGCGACCACGGTGGGCTGAAAATCGGCTTTGATAGACATAGGGATTTCAATTTGCAAGTGCCATATTTATTGCCGGATATCGCTTCTATTAGTTATTACTATATATAAAAATGACATCCGAGTTAATTCTGCACAAAGACGAAGGAATTAGAATTTTTTTACGAAAAATTTGTATGAAGCTAGTATGAAAAATCTAATTATCTCTTAAACGGCAGAGAAAACCGTAATATCCTCACAGGTGGTTTTAGTACTAATTATTTATGATTTTTTGGGATACTCCAAATGACGGTTATCACTGCTGATTTTTTTAGAAAATCATCAAAATATTTTTATTTATTTTTACATATGAAACGGTTACGTTTAGAGTTTAAGTTAAAGAAGATAGACTTTTAACAACCTATAACATAAAATAGCATCACCCTATACATCCTCGAAGTAGCAGGCAGAGGTTTATACTATACCAACACTTAGATAACTATGTTTGAGCTAGATATTTATGAACACAAAATGAGTTTTGAAACTTAGCATACAACCGAAACGCCAAATAAAAATGGCTTAGTCTTCTAATGAGTCTAAATAGGTGATTAAATGATTTGCAATATCGCGCAACAATGCTAACTACAACAATGCCCTCCAAAAATAACTACCTATAATTTGAAATCAGTATAAACTTATTATGTATTTTAAACATATAACGAACACTTAATCAAAATCATATTTTAACACCACTATTACGACTTTGTAAAATAAAGCTGTACTACTGTGTTCTGTATAGTGACCACGACATCAACGAGTATGTGAGGGTATACTTATATTCGCGTCTCTGGTCGCGGATAATTTGAGTACCCACATAAATTAATTAGTATCAAAACGTTAATAAAATCGTCCAAATTGTAAACTGTTTAACAAAAATAATGTAATATTTAAATGTTCGAGTGATGAATGAAGTGTATATTAGTGTATCAAGTGAAAAACATATTCTCAAGTAAGTAAAATGTAAATTTCTGTTTGAAAGAAATAAATTCTTTACCCAAAACTGTTTACTACATTGGTTGTGCTATGAGTTCTAAGAAATGTTTTAAACGATTATGAATATCTTCATTGCATCTTTGGAAACTCTAATGAGGGTAATTAACTAATAACCAACATTTTGCAATAAAAGGGCCGAAATTTGGCTTTATTATTCAAATTGTTCACAATTGTGTAACTGCTAAAACTAAATCTTTACTCTGCAACTATACAATCTTAGAATGGAAAGTTTAATCACCAACTTATTTAGACTTGTTTGTTCTTTTAAAAAGTGAGAGTACTTCATTTAATCACGAGGTATTGTTTAGTGCTGTTGTATCACGCATAGGCGATAACCTTTCTGCTGAAGATCGAGTAACTCTCAAAGAATTTTGTCGGAGATTCACGCGAGCTGCTTTACAGAGGTGGCAGAAATCCAACCGATTCCTTGATCAATTCAGAAGATTGTACGAAAATTGGCTGCAAGCAAATATTGATTGGCCAAGTTGTGTGCAATCTTTAGTTAATCAACAACCAACTGTTGATGAGATACCTAGAGCACACTCAGTCTCTCAAGAACCGTCGACATCATCATCCGTTGGTACAAGCAAACAGAAAAAGAGAAGATCTGATGATCTTATAGGCAAAGATTCCAGTGAATTGGCATATACAGCTGCAGCACGTTTAGAAAAAGAAGGGCATGAGGATATCGCATCTGTGATCGAATATATAATGAAAAATCCTGAAGCAACCGTTAAAATTATTGAAACGCTTAAAAAACCAGAGAAAACAGTCATATTTACACCAGAGAAAGCGCTTGGATTGCTTCTTTCATTAAAACTTTCAAAGTGGCAATATATTACGTTGCGAGAGGCTACCATTTGGGCAGGTGCTAAGGATATTTATCCATCCTACTATAAAGTGCAACAAACTAAGCTTGATTGCTACCCTCCAAAACAATCAGTGTCAGTTACGGATTCATTGGCTAGGATTACACTTCAAGCTTTACTTGACATCACGGTGACGAGGATCCTTCAAAGTCTTTCTGATGATGTGCAAAATAAGCTGATATCCAAGTGGGTTGTTCCAAGTTGATGGCGCTTCCAACCAAAGCCGATACAAGCAGAAAATAGAGGGTGAGCAAGATGATTCAATCATTTTCATGACTTCCTTGGTGCCACTAAAACTGACAGATGGAGATAATACTTTATGGAATAACCCTAAACCATGCTCATTTTTGTATTGTCGTCCAGTACAGTTTACTTTTGTAAAGGAGAGCGAAGCAGTTGTCATTGATCTTAAAAGACAAATGGATTATGAAATTAAGACCCTTATCCCCTCAAAGTGCAGTAATGTTAACAGGGTGACTCATCATCTAATGATGACAATGATCGACGCTAAAGTCTGCACGTACCTTTCTGAAGCCAGATCAAATGCAACGTGCTACCTGTGCTTAGCAAAACCTACAGAAATGAACCGCTTAGATGCTGTAACATCAAAGATTGCACGAGTATGTTCTGACATGTACGAATTTGGCTTGTCATCCCTTGTATAAATTGTATGGAATGTCTGTTCCACATTTCGTACAGGCTCAACTTCAAACAGTGGGCAGCGAGAAGTAATGAGCACAAAGAAATGTTGCACATAAGAAAAAAATGTATTCAAAATAAATTCAAAGATGAGCTCAATTTGTTGGTTGATATAGTGAAACAAGGCTCGGGAACTAGCAATGACGGGAATACCGCTACAAAGTTTTTCAAGTTTCTCAATAAAACTACAGCTATTACCGGGTTAGATGAAGAGCTAATCAAAAGATTTGCTGTGATTTTACAAGCGATAACATCTGGCGAGACGATCGACTTAATCAAATTTAAGGATTTTACCCGCAAAACAGCAGAAAAGTACGTAGAATTACAGCCCGTTCACACTAGTCGTAAGTTGCATATTACTAAAAGTCGAATGCTCTGGTCACCATACACTTTATATGGAGCTGTTCACATTGGATGAGACGCGATTTTTAGTCTAATACGACTCAAAAACCATCCGAAGGGCCAGCGCCCGTTGTAAGACTAAATCGTGCTCGCATAGGTGCCTGCTTGTTGCTGTTCACACTAGTCGTGCATCTAATCGACTCGAGCGCGTTGTTACCTTCTCTCCCCGCCCCGCTTCCTAGATCGCTACACATTGCTTGCTCAACTCCATTCGTGTTTTATTCGTCGTGTTGGTTGCGCGCGCGCTGTTTTTGTTTGTTGTGTGAAAATGGAGAAAGAAATAAAACCCGAAGAACTAATTCCATTAGTTCACGAAAGAGCAGTCCTTTGGGATAAAACTTTAAATGACTACAAAAATAATAATCTGAAACTATTGGCCTGGTGCGAAATTTGTACCATACTAAAACCTAATTTTGAAAACATGGAAGAAAAATAAAGACAACATTTCGGTAAGTGCCAGTAAAGTTTATTAACTATTATACTACATAGTTATGTATTTACAGTTGTATTATTAATTTTTAACTCATTTATATTATGCGTATCGCGCATTAGTTTGCCAAGGCAGCGAACCAATCGGGGAAGTAAAATAGTCTGCAAAGTCCGATTGTATAACATTTGCAATCGGACCACCACGAGGATTATGTACTCTCTGTTGTTGATCTTGTTCTTGTATCGATTGTTCTAATGCAAGTTGAATATCTTCAAAGTTTAGACCATCCCTTTCTCTTAAATAATTATGCAATACTGCACAGGCTGTCACAATATGGATAGCGGTGTCTGGGTGGACATCAAATGGTCGATGCAGTATTCTCCATTTATTAGCTAAAATTCCAAAAGCACACTCAACAAATCTTCTTGCACGGCATAATCGATAATTAAATATTCTTTTTGTATCATCCAAATGATTGCCTCCGAAAGGTCTCATTAAATTTGTCGTCAGGGGGAAAGCTTCATCGCCAACTAGTACATAGGGCATATCCTTTTCGATTGTTTCATGAAGAGGCCTTGGCTTTGGTATGTTTAAACTTGGGCCCCGATCTGTCGGACGCCCAATTTGGTTTTCGGGCGGGGCGTTCGACAGTCGACGCCGTATTGCGCCTGAGGGCCGTGACCGAAGAGGCCGTGAGCTGTGGCGGCGAGCTGTTGGCGGTGTCATTAGACATCGCCAACGCATTCAATAGTCTGCCATTCAGCTGCATCAGGGAAGCACTCCACTATCATGGGGTGCCAAAGTACCTGAGGCGGCTAGTGGCAGACTATTTAGAGGAGCGTACCGTCGTGTACGAGGACCGAGAAGGTAATTTGAGGTGTCGGCCCATGTCGTGCGGTGTTCCACAGGGGTCTGTTCTTGGACCCCTCTTGTGGAACATAGGGTACGACTGGGCCCTTCGCGCCGATTTCCCCCCCGGGCTGGGTGTAATCTGTTACGCAGACGATACCCTGGTGACAGCCCGGGGGGCAAACTTCCAAGAGGCGGCGCGCCTGGCCACAGGAGGAGTCTCCCTGGTGGTCGGGCGCATTGAGGCGCTGGACTTACGGGTGGCCCTAGATAAGACGGAGGCCCTGTTATTTCATGGGCCCCGTCGTGGTCCACCCCCTGGCGCCTCAATCGTGGTCAACTCGGTCCTCGTACCGGTTCGGGCCCAGATGAAATATCTGGGCCTGATCCTCGACGGGAGGTGGCTCTTCGACGAGCACTTCCGACAGCTTGCTCCAAAGCTGGTCGGCGCTGCGTCTGCCCTAGGGCGACTTTTGCCCAATATGGGTGGACCCAGCGTCGCGACAAGACGGCTGTACACGGGGGTTGTCCGGTCAATGGCACTGTACGGTGCACCGGTGTGGGCGGCGGCTCTGACCGCCCAGAATAGGGTACGCCTCTGGCGCCCTCAGAGGGTAATGGCGGTCAGAGCCATACGCGGTTACCGCACCGTTTCGACGGAGGTGGCATGCGCGTTGGCCGGAACTCCCCCGTGGGATTTGGAGGCGGAAGTGCTCGCCGAAGTTTATCGGCGAGTGGCTGACTCCCGGGCGGAGAGCGGATTTTGCCCTCCGCCCGAGGATGTGCGCGAGTGGCGCGAAGCCGCTCGCCGAGCCACGATGGCTCGTTGGTCGTTCCGGCTGGAGACTCCACGTGCTGGCTTCGCCGCCGTGGAGGCTCTCCAGCCGGTCATCGCCGAGTGGGCAGGGCGGCAGCACGGGACCCTTTCCTTCCGGCTGACGCAGGTGCTTTCCGGTCGCTAGGAGGGAACTGAGTCCCGCCTGCCACCACTGCGACTGCAGTGAGGACTCGGCCCAGCACTGCAATGCAGCAATGTTGCAATATAATTTTAGGTAAATTAGTATTGACCAAGTGGACGAACTTACTTAATGTCTGGATCCGAACAAACAAAAATGATGAAAAAAAATCAGGATCAGGGGCAAAGTCGTCAAAGCCATATGTATATAAAGAGCAAATGGATTTTTTGCGTAAAGTTGCTAGACCTAATCCTCCTCAAGAGTCTGTTGCATCGCGTATATCTCAACCAGGGACAGAAGGCAGTACTCAGTTGTCTGAGAATTCGCCACGAAGCACTTCGAATAGACAAAAGACCATGCCACCAGAGCAACATATAATGGACTTAGATGTCAAAATGAGCGAGTTTTTAGACAGCAGGCTATCACAACAAACTGATCCCCCAATTTTATCATTTTTTAAAGGTATCCTACCCTCTGTTACGTCTTTCGACGATGACGAAACGTTGGAGCTTCAATCAGGTGTATTATCATTGATACAACAAATCAAAAAGAAACGTGAAAACAGACTTTATGCAAATAATTACAATTACGCGCGTGATAGCACACGGCGATCGGGGTATTCGACACAGAACTATAATTATTTATCTACCGATGAATCCGGATATTCCTCTCAAAACCAGGCTGTTCTTACCCCACATGGGTCTGGATATGCAAGACGTCAAACGTATGAGGAAGGATCGCCTGCTACATCTACTTGGTCGGAAAGTACCGACTTAAATTTCTCCGATTTTTGAATTATTGTAATATGTTGCGCTGTTTACCTACTTAAAATAAACAAGTTAAAATAACTTTTGTTTCAATTTCAATACACCTCAGAAATCACACTACAACTGCTACAATCAGACTACTATACTACAAATACAATCTGAATATTTGTAGCAGTTGTTGTGTGATTCTAAAAAAATCACATACCTAAGAAATATCGACAGTCTTTCTTCAGGACAAATGCAGTCTCTAAATGTCGTATTCCGATACGTGATGCTCGCAGAAACTCTTGACAGTAGGTCGTTGAAAGTTGCTTGTGACATTCTAAAATAATTAAAGAATTTTCGTTCGTCATTTTTTAATTCATGTATTAAATTTTTATAACTTCCCAAAGTCGATCTTTCTGTTAGGATTGGGTGCATCCAGTATTTTCTTGGAATTGACTTTTTTTTCAACTTTTTTAATTTTCTTCGTAAGTAGTAGAGCACAACAAGTTCTTCGTCGGCGTCCATCTGGCGACGTCTCGCGCGCCATATACGACTCGCGACGCAGTGTGAACAGGTACATCAGACTTTCGACTTTTAGTAATATGCAACTTACGACTAGTGTGAACGGGCTGTTATACGACTGGTACTACATGTCATCAACCGTACATAAATTATTAATACACGGGGCTGACATAATCGAGAAAAATGATATTGTGCCGATTGGGACTCTTTCGGAAGAAGCCTCAGAGTCTCGAAACAAAGATTTTAGGAGATTTCGGGAACATCATTCACGGAAAAGAAGCAGGCAAGATTCAAATCAAGATATCTTAAATATGCTTGTTGTTTCTTCGGATTCTTTCCTAAGTGCACAAAGGCCTAAATTAGATGCCAAGATAAAGCAGAGCTTTTTGCTGAAACTCTCGACTTAATTGAGTTTATAGATATATCTAAGCTGAATTCAGACTCAGAATTGGAGTCTGACAACGAGTGATGAGGAAAATTTGTAAAATTTTTAATGATAGTTTTTCATGTTTTTCTTTGATAATTATGTTAGTTTATTGTTCCAATACGTTTAGTTAAAACATTATTTGTATAATTGTATTTATAAAGCTTAAATAATGTTTTCTGAATCTCTGTTTTAGTTAAATTATGAATAAAAAAGAATAAACAGCTGTTTTTTTATCTTTCTTGTTTTATATATTCTTAATATTTGGGTCAATAACATTCTTCTTATTGATGTTCTTAACTTAGACACTAAAAATAACCGTTTCATATGTAAAAATAAATAAAAATATTTTGATGATTTAAAAAAAAAATCAGCAGTGATAACCGTCATTTGGAGTATCCCAAAAAATCATAAATAATTAGTACTAAAACCACCTGTGACGATATTACGGTTTTCTCTGCCGTTTAAGAGATAATTAGATTTTTCATACTAGCTTCATACAAATTTTTCGTAAAAAATTCTAATTCCTTCGTCTTTGTGCAGAATTAACCCGGGTATCATTTTCCTATATAGTAATGACTAATAGAAGCGATATTTGATAAAAAAAACCGGCACTTGCAAATTGAAATCCCTATGTCTATGAAAGCCGATTTTCAGACTACCGTGCGACGCGACGAGTGGCAATGTGGGCCCGTAAGGGATGATTTATATTAGACCGCGCCGTGCCCGGGGCGTGCCGTGTACGTGGCCCGGACGGGGCACGGATTTGAAACGTTATATACATTTTATATGAACCAGTTTATATTACACAGTGCATAATCCGTGTCCCGTCCGGGCCCGGACGACGCTCGTCTACACGACGGTTGCTGCACGAAAAAATATTTATTAATATCAAGTACATCTTCTAACGTAACCTAATTATCAGAATGTTATGTATCTGTATAAACTCATACTTTCATATTTTGCCACCCTTCTTTATCAGGTTATACGTTATATGTTATACGTTATCCTTTATAACAATAAACTCCCTGTAACGTTGAAGTGAGCCCAACTTGGTTGGTTTGCGTTAAAACCCACGTATTGAAACACTCTTTATAGCGATACGCCATTCTCTATTACGAAGAAATGTGTTCATATTTGTAGACAGTAAATATTTATTATCGGTATTATTGTTTATGTTATGTTACCAGGTAACAAAAGACTTTGAAGCTCCGAAACATCCGAGGTCGGTCTAGGTTTTGTTATCCTTAATTGCCTTGAACACGTGCAGTATGACGCATTGTTTTCTCGGAAGTGATGGTCTTCGACCAAGCATACTGGGTACCTATCGTATTATCAGATATGAATAGATGAATAGAACGGATATGAACAGAATAAATAAAATAATACAAAACAAGTACTGGCATAGCAAAAAACGTCAGACAAAGTTATCAGACTATATGTGTAAACAATAATTTATAAGCATTTATTATCTAAGACATACATTTTAAAAATTCTTGTTAATTTCGTTGTTTATTTGTTCACTCCATGTAACGATAAATCGACAGACATCTATAACGACAAAAAATGCTCAGTCCCTTGAGTTTCGTTATAAAGAGTTTACACTGTAATAAAAAAATCTAAAAGAGAAACTAAGACCCCCAAACGAGGATTATGTCAATAACATTTCTTGTTATTTTCAACCTTATCGTTTCAAAGAAACTGGCCGTGCAATTCTTCTCGGGCACGCACCACGCACGTAGGGCAAGAAGAGAGAAGGCGAATTTCATGTTATTGCATTTTTAAAAATTAAATCACAAAATTTCCTATTGACGAATACTATTTATTTTTATAATTTCTAATAATAAAGAAAGGGTTCCATTACTAATATATTTTACATATTTTATTTGCACCTATGTTTGTTTTAGCTAACGCTTGTAAATCAAGATGGACAAATATTAGAGACCAATTTAAAAAAACTTGAACAAAAGACAACTAAAAAGTGGTCAAGCAGCAGCTAAAGTAAAAAAATATAAATACGAGGATTTGCTCCAATTTTTTGGTCGTTCATACGAGGGTGCGTTTTTAAGTTCGCGGAATGAGAGGGTTGGAGGGGGGTGATTAGGCTCATTAGAATCGTCACGTGTTCAGTGACTCATAATTAGTATAAATACCAGGTTTCATTGTTATTAGACAATTAGTTTCTGAGTTATCGTCAACCAAGCAACATAATCGGGAGTGAAAAGTGAAACATGGAAAAAATCGAATATCGTGCCGTTATAAAGTTTCTTACCAAGCAAGGAAAATCAGTTGCGACCATAATGAATGAGATGTCATTGGTTTACGGCGACTCTTGTCCAGGAAAAACCATGGTGTACAAATGGCACAGTTTATTTAAACAAGGAAGGGAATCCCTTGAAGACGACCCGAGGCCGGGCAGGAGCATCGAGGTGATCACGCCAGAACTTATCCAAAAAGTCGAAAAAATTGTACTCGACGATGCTCGACTAAAGAAGAAACAACTCGCAGAAATAGTTGGAGTATCTGATACAGCCATTTTTAGAATTCTGCACGATCATTTTGGCATGACAAAGGTCAGTGTGCAAGATGGGTGCCGAGAATGCTCACGCCGACGCAAAAACAACAGAGCGTAGAGTGTTCACGTACATTTTTAGACCTTTGTAATGAAGACAAGGATGCTGTATTGAGTAGAATTGTTACTGGAGACTAAACTTGGGTTCATCATTATGAACCTGAGTAGAAACAAGACTCCATGCAGTGGCATAAAAAGGGCACAGCACCTCCCAAGAAGTTTAAGGTGTCACAGTCAGCTGGGAAACTCATGGCAACGGTCTTTTGGGACTCAGAAGGAATATTATTGATCGATTATAAAGATAAAGGTGTTTCTATGACCGGAGAATACTACGCTTCAATATTAGAGCGACTCAAAGAACCCATTAAAGAGAAAAGACGGGGAAAATTGACAAAAGGTGTGTTGCTTTTGCACGACAACGTTGGCTGCCCTGCATAAGGTGGGCTTCGATATTTTGAATCACCCACCCTACAGCCCAGACCTGGCCCCCAACGATTATTACCTGTTTCCAAAAATGAAAAAAGAGCTGCGGGGTAAAAAAAATTACCAACGATGATGAAGTCAAGGAGGCAGTTTCGGCGTATTTTGAAGACAAAGAGAAAACATTTTTTTATGAAATTAATTTATATAAGTTATATAAAAGTTTAATTGAAAGATCTGAAAAATGTATCCGTCTTGCAGGGGGATATATTGAAAAAGGAAAAATAATTTGGTTTTTTTATTTCCACCCCTTATCCCCCATTCCGCGAACATAAAAACGCTCACTCGTGTACAGGACAGAGAAGTGATCGAAAATATTTCAAACGACAATGAATCTGAAGAGACGCTTCAAGATTATACTGATACTCCAACAACTGCACTAACTGATACTCCAACAACAGAACTAACTGATACTCCAACAACAGCACTAACTGATACTTCAACACCTGTATTTTTGCCCCAAAACCCCAGTACGTCTACAACTTCTCTAAATTCGCTTCAAAATACAACTGCACCTACAACTTCACGTCATTCATCCCAAAATGCAACCACACAGAAAAAAAATCAAGCTCGTGCTCGTCCACAAAAGCAAGCGTCGTCACAACCATCCGCTGCAGCTAGTCTAATGAAATATATTATTGTCATATCGCTGCTTTTTTCAATGGCTTGATACCGACGATAAAAACATTTTCGCCTTATTATCAACATATAGCAAAATAATAATAATAATATTGTTCCAAGTTGTTCAGGATTTAGAATGGGAACGGTTAAGCCCTGATCCTCACACTTATATATCACCATCGCCTTCATCATCACCATCAACATCTTTCTTTTTTTTTTTTTTTACGTGTGGAAATCCCCTCGGACCGTCACCCCACCGGGGTTTGCGGCGGGGTGGTGGGTCGGACTCGGACCGACTTAAACCACCTCCAACCCCTCCGCCGCCGCAACCACCGGCGACACAACAAGATTATTAACAAAAGATAATTCTATAGACACAGATCTATCAACATTTTTTACGGAGTATAACCCCTTCAGTAGCACCCCCCAAAATCCGTCTTAATGGGTTGAAGAATCACAAAATAAATATCATAATAAATATAAAGAAAATGTTTTTGAGAATGTCCTAAATTTTGTTATAATTACCTTCATGAAAAAAGTTTAATGAATATTTGATTGATTTCTAACATACCTAGTAATTATTTATCAAGCACTTCTAAGACGTATTCAGACATAAATAATAATGAATAATAATCTGTACCTACCTGTGTGTGTTATGTGTGTGTGCGTGTGTGTATGTGTGTTTTTATGTAATAAGCTGCACCTTTTTTTTACACTCTCCCGTCTGTAAACTTTAATTTTGTTGTCTCAAGTGTACAATAAACGATTGATTGATTAAAATCTAAGTAAATTGCAAACAAAATTTGCAAAACAAAACATAATCGCGAAGCATTTTATTTTATTTTGTAGTAATTACCTGAGACATACTGTGTGTCTTGAATCTCGTCTGCTGTCTTGTAAGGGCGGGCTTTAGCTCATTTAGTAAAATGTCAAAGTTTTCCTTGAACATTCTAAAATATCCAAAGAATTTATCTTCATTTTCCGGTAAGTATCTACATAGAGTATTAAATTCTCCGTCAAATTGACGCCTTCTCCAAAGAGGATGCACGCTCCATTTCCGTTTAATCTGGTTCTTCTTAGTCATTGCTTCTGTTTCCTCTTCATCAATAGCTATCGCAATAGCAGCCATCTCCACTAAAGAAAACTCCATTATTATTAAATTGCAATAATTGGGAATTATTCACATCACTACGCCATATTGAAGCGACCGTGGCGGCTTATAACCCGTTGAACACTCGGTGTAGTATACGCATGCAGCACCGACGGGCTCCGCTCCGGCCCGGACAAGGACCGGTCTAATATAAATCTTCCCTTAACAGACATAGACATTCGTACACTGTTAGGTATGCCTATTACTCCTGACACAATTGACCGATCACAAGAGACTCTAGGACAAACAACCCCTACAACCCAAAATATAGACATTAGTCAAGTAAGAACCGAAATAGACACAGCCACCGATAGTAACCAAATAGAAGTAAATACAGACAAAATACCAGAAATAGAAGACGCAATAGACAGACAGTTAAAACAGTTTCACATTAGAAAAACACCAGGGAACACATAGAATAGATGATAGATCTAAAAGTAAGACAGATATTAAAGATGTCTGGATCCCAATCAACGAAACAAAAGAACAGATAATATCATTTCTTAAAGAGCACACAGTCCCAGACAGAGTCTCACTGTTTTTTCCATCACGAAGAATTCTATCCACTATTTTGCGAAGTATACAAAACCATATTCAGCAATCGTGGACCGAAATTAATTCGCTGTATAAATAGTGACATTAATAGAAAATATTTCCGAACAAACAGATATAATAAGGATATATCATGAAGGCAGAACGATACATAGAGGTATACAAGAAACCTATAAACACATACATAGAAGAAACTACCATTGGCCAAATATGCTAGACTCAATACAAAAATTAATAAACAAATGCGATACTGTCTTAAAAGTAAATATGAACGCAACCCCTTGAAATTACCCTTGTCCCTAACTGATACACCACATAGACCAATGGAACACATGTTCATGGATCTATACAGCAGTGGAGGCATAACATTTTTATGTAACACAGCTGTTGATCTTTTGAACGAGTCGGATAATGACGATGACGATTCACCATTTTTTGGACCATCTGGTGTGCCTTCGGACTCCGAACCTGATGACAACTTAGAGGAGGACTTAGTCGAGGATACCGACGAAATTGAAGATGATTCGTCGAGTTCTTCTGATGAAGATCTAAATGTTTCCCGGAGAAGCCGTAACAGAAACAGAATCCTAGATTCTGATGATGATTCTTTGGAGTGTTTGCAGCCTTGTCCACCCATAGCTTCTCACCAGGACCTGGTAATACAACCTGAGAGACCATACATTTATGGAAAAAACAAACATAAGTGGGCAACTACTCCACGCTCTGCAAACACTCGTGCATCGGCTCGAAACATTATTCATTTTATACCCGGACCTAACAGTGATGCAAGAGATTTGGTAGAACCAATTCCAATATTTCATTTGTATTTATCTGATGAAATGATTGACCAACTTGTTATTTACACAAATGCAGAGATTGAAATAAAAAAGGTGAAGTACAAAGAACTCACTCATACTATTTCTCCAACTTCAGCTATTGAACTAAAAGCTTTACTGGGTCTTCTTATGCAATCAGCTGCTATAAAAAGTAATCATTTACCCACGAGAATGTTGTTTGATGCCAGAAGGAGTGGTAACATTTTCAAAGCCTGCATGAGCGCTGAGAGATTTGATTTCTTGTTTAAATGCCTTCGATTTGATGACAAAGCTACCAGACAAGACAGAAGAGCATCCGATAAATTTGCACCTATAAGAGAATTTTGGGAGAAATTCATTGGTCATTGCAAACAATGGTACAAGCCAAGTTCCTATCTGACAATCGATGAACAATTAGTTGGGTTCAGAGGGCGCTGCCCATTTCGAATTTATATACCCAATAAGCCTAACAAGTACGGCATAAAAATTGTTATGGTTGCAGATTCTAATTCAAAGTACTATACAATGCTACGCCTTATTTGGGTAAAGGAACCAATTGCGATAATATGCCTCTTGCCACACATTTTGTGAAACAACTCTGTGAGCCTGTCTATGGGACAAACAGAAATATTACGATGGACAATTGGTTCACTTCAGTGCCACTTGCTTCAGAATTACTTCAGGACCCGTATAAACTCACACTTGTTGGGACAATACGTAGTAATAAGCGAGAGATTCCACCCGAGATGAAAAACAAAAAATCAAGAAAGATTAATACTTCGATGTTTGCATTTGATGGTGAGAAGACTCTGGTCTCGTATAAACCGAAATCTAACAAGACAGTATTTCTTCTATCGACAGTGCACAATCAGCCAGACATTAACTCCACTTCGAAAAAGCCTGAAATTATACATATTTACAATAGTACCAAAGGTGCTGTCGACACTGTCGACCAAATGTGCTCAGCTATATGTGTCAATCGCAAAACCAATAGATGGCCTCAATGCGTGTTTTATAATGTCTTGAACCTGTGCCTAATTAATTCATATGTCATCTATGTGTCGAACATGGTCAGAGAACGGCAAAAACCAATGAGACGTAGGACTTTCGGCCAAAGTTTAGCCGATAAGCTCATAGAGCCATGGTTACGAGAGCGGTATAACACTGTCACTTTGAGGAGGGATATAAAAGCTAGTATCAAAGATATTTTAAAAATTGAAGATGCTACTCCTAGTACCTCTCAAGCGCAACAAAATAAGCGCAAAATATGTTTTTTTTGTCCTTACAAAAAACACAGGATAACTAAATATGTTTGCAGCCGCTGCAAGACGGCGATTTGCGGGGAACATACGATTCCAGTGTGTGCCGACTGCCAAGAATAACCTTATAACCTAAAAAGATAAGAATAACCTAAAAATAAAAAATAATTTTTTTTTAACCTTTTGTTTTATTATGTGGTAATTTAAAGGATATTCCATATTTTAAGTAGACTTTTTCTAAATAAATACTCTAGTTTTGATAAATATTGCGGTTTTATTTTGTTAGTTTGTAGGACTAACGTTTAGTGACAGAGTTTGAAAAAAAAAAGTTTAGTGATCTAGGGTTAAGGCGAAGTTAAGCGTAATACACACAAAGAGCGGGCGCGGGTTGGGCGCGGATCGGGACGGGAGTACGGCGGGTCTAGTTCTTTGTATTTATATGAAAGACATCACACTGGAAACGTGTGCGGGTCGTGCGCTGCGCGTGTCGACAGTTTGTTTTGTGAATATTTACAAAAAATAGTTCGATTTTGCTATGGATCTCAATGAAAAAATTATTGAATGTGTTCGTAAACATAGTTGTTTGTACGAACCAAGTGATAAAAACTACAAAAACGCTGTTTTGAAAGCTAGGCTATGGCAGCAGATTGTAGAACAATTAAATGAAACAAGTATTTTATTTTTATTAAAAAAAAAAAAAAAGACAACTCCCGCTGACTCAGAACAACAATTTGTGGATCACACAAAGTGTCGTCCCATGTGGGGTTTGAACCCACAACACTCGGCGTAGTAGGAAGCAGCGTGGCGACCGCTTAAACCACTACGCCATCCGTGCAGTCAAGTCAAGTTATTTAATTATTAGTATTAAAATAGTTAACAAATTTTTCTCTAATTTGGAAAGATTCACTTGTTGACCGTCTATTTGTGGGGTTTATCGATGCTAATCCTCTTGTAGTAACCGACGTCGCCGCCATGTTTTGCGAAAAATCTAAGTCATAATTACCCCGTTTGACAATGATGTAGTTATGCAAACAAGTTGCAGCTTTGATCACATCTATTGCAGTTTCAACTTTACATTCCATAGGTTTTCTAAATACCCGCCATTTGTGTTTCTACAACACGCCTTGCACGGCATAGTCTATAATTAAAGTTGGTTTTTCGTGTATCTTGTAACACTGTGGCCCTAGGAAAGGGTCTCATTAAATAAGTTTTAAGTCCAAATCCTTCATTGCCTATTAATACATGGGGAACGGGATCATCCGTGCCTGGTTACGGTTTTGGAGGCAATAACATGTTATAGCGAATATATTTTTGATAAAATCTTGAATTCTCAAAAATGGAGCTGTCGCTATGGCGACCATAACTTCCGATATCAACAAAAAAAAAATATCAACAAATATACAAACTTATAAAATGGATCTACTATGGCCAGTAGCACTATTATTTTGGTAACAAGAAAATTCGGATAGAATCTTCGAATCCAATATCGACTTTTCGACTATCATCGAACGAACCAATTGAAACACCCCGCCGGGTAAAAAAAAAAGACTAGAGAGCCAGATGAGCCAGATGTCGACAACATGATTAAAAGCTACTTGGAAAAGAAAAAAACGAGGCACGACGATGTCGACTATTTACTTTTAAGCAATACAATACAAAAATACAAACGTACAAAAAAATTATCGCAGCGGAAACAAGCATCCAATACTACAAATATATCTTGAGGAGTACCAACTTGTTCATCTTCACTTAAATAAAATATAAAAATCACTTACTACTGTGTTATTTTCCCTATAACCACAGCGCTAGAAGTTGAGTATGGGCACATAGCCCATATTAAATAAATATAATAATCTATTTCACAATAAATTATTAACGAGGTCAATTCAATTTTAACTATTTATTGTCTACAATATTGCCTGCATACATTTAAGAGCGCAGGCAAAGTATTTAACCTATGCCTAAAAAGAACATATAATAAGAATTTAACCCAAATATCAGTGAAAAATGATCAATTTAGAAAAAAAATAGGACTTACCTAAGTTGTAATAAGGTGCTGATGAGTCTAATTCATTTGGTAATGGTTTAAATTGAGGATTTAATAAAGCCACAATTTTCTCATCAACTATGGTTGTCTTGGGGCAAAATGTTCCACCTCCTGTTTTGTACATCTCGGACTGAAATTAAAATTTAACATAAATACACGGTGATTTTGAAAGCGTTTTGGAAAAGAAAATTTTGAGTTATTTATCAGTAACAGAAGCTATATATAACGTTAATTTAATAAAAAATATATATTTTTTTTTATCATCAAAGTCGATATTCATATCGATTATTTTTCTCTTTGATTTACTTTTCTCTGAAAAGGTGAGAACCAGTAGTAGGGCTTTTCAATCGCAAGTAGGTAAATACTACGAATAGAAATACTATACTCACGTGCAAGGTCAAGGACGTTTAAATTATTATTCGCCGGAGTGTAGTGCGTGCATACCTGGACAATGAGTTTAGTGATCGGTGGATAGGTCGAGGAGGGCCAGTGCCTTGGCCACCTAGAAGCCCGGACTTAACGCCCCTGGATTTTTTCTTATGGTCGGAAATAAAAATACTTGTTTATACACGGGAATATGAAAGCCGTGATAATTTACGCATTGCGATAGTGGACGCTTTTGATAAAGTGAAAAGTGATAGAGACACATTAAGAAAATTAAAAAACAATTGCATTAAACGTGGACGTTTGTGTATTGAATGCAGCGGACTCCATTTTGAGCAGTTGCTTCGATACAGAAAAGTGTAAATAGTGTAAATAGGTATGTAAGTTAATTATTCTGTAGATAGCTCCGATTTTTTAAATACGCTTGAAATATTTATACCTACAGAAAAGAACAATCGTGTTTATTAATCGAAAAGAAGTTTAAATAAAATAGGTATTTCCGACGATCCTAAGCCCGTGTAAAGTATGAAGGACAAATTGGAGTCTATCTACTCGCTAGCTCGCGCCTATAGGTATACTTTTATCAGCTGCTGTTAGCGTCAGCGGTGCGCAGCGGCCGCCGAAACGCACGGACGTGTTTCATTCATATAAGATGATGAATGAATGATCAGTCCATTACTACTTTCCAAGTCGATCGAGTAAAAATGAATATTAAAACTGAAACTTTTTTTTAGACAACATTACAATTGATTTAATCATTTTTATTGGTACTATAGATGATTCCAAATTAAAATGTTTCGTTTCCAAAACTCCTAAAAAATCACCGTGTATATTACATTCTTGTCTGGCACCATTGTTTAACATAAGAATCAATGAATATATTACTCCGAATATATTAGATTATAAATGTTACTCCGAGGCATAGTATTACATATATGAAGTATAATTATGTATATTATTGGTACCAAGTGGTTATTACACCTGTATACTAAAGGGTTCCTTCGTACTTTGTACTCTTAAAATATACATAAGGGAGTCTAATCAAATATAAATTACAAGGATACTACCTTATCATCGCTCAAATTTTTTCTCCCTTTTTCTTTACATTATCATAAAGGCATGCAACTGCTTTTCAGTCCTAACGCCAGTTTCTGAGACAGCATTATATTTATTTGTCAGCGCCATCCAAGCTTGTTTCTTTGCCTCCACAGAAGTTCCATCCGTCTTTTTATTGTCGATTATAGACACAAATTCTTTGGCTACTTCGATAAGAAGCATCTTCTCTCTCTCAGTAAAAGTTTTACTGCGTTTTCCAGATTCCATTATAGTTATTTTTTATAAAGAATAAAAAATATTTTTTTATTTCAATATTTATTTATTTCTTTTCATAATTTACTATAATAAAAATAAATAAATAATTCCCTCAAAAAACGTAATATATTTTCAACTACCGTATTTAAACCGATGCCAATGGCCACTCGATGGCATCTCAATAGCGTGTCAGTGGTATGACAGTGGCTTGGCGTAAATAGCAGAATTGAGGCCCTGATTGATAGTTATTGAACGGTTCATCGCGTGTTCAGAAATGCAGTGACAGTTAACCGACGTTTATCCTATACATAACTTTATTGTATCAATAGCTAATGAGAGTATAACTGGGAACTTCAGAAACCGGGCATGAGTGAACGCAACGGGTCTGAGGGGCGCGGGGGTTATGTCAATCGGTAGCCTGGCTCTTGGGAATTGAGTCGCTATGGAGCGTTTCTAGGGAGCAGACCGTGCGTTGTGCGTGCGAGAGTTTTACAAAAACGGTGATTCGGCGACTGTAGCGCGTAGAAGGTTCTGTAGTGTTCGAGGTTTTCGCCATTTAAATGATGCGCCAAGCATTCCTCTTATTCGAAAATGGGTCAAAAAGTTTGAAGAGACCGGTACAACGCAGGAAAAACCAAAATCCGGGCGACCAAGGTCATCAAGAACGGTAGAAAACGTGGAGAGAGTTAATCAGTCTGTTCGTGACGACCCGAACCTTTCAATTCGGAAGCCCGCAAGTGCTTTAAATGTGCATAGATCATCATTACACCGCATTTTGCACAAATACCTAAAGCTGCACCCCTACAAAATTCAATTGGTGCAAGAATTAAAGCCCTAAGATGCCAGTCAGAGGCTTGACTTCGTAAATCAGGCCATTGAGCGCTTTTCAACGTTTACCAACATCTTGTTTTCGGATGAAGCTCATTTTCATGTTAATGGACACGTAAATACGCAGAATTGCCGCTACTATAGTGCAATGAATCCGAAACGCAAACATCAGAAACCCCTTCATTGGCCTAGAGTGACCGTATGGGCTGCGATGTCGGCGCGAGGAATTATCGGCCCTTACTTTTTTGAAGACGAAAGGGGGCGTGCAGTTACAGTGAATTCAGAGCGTTATGTGGAGATGTTAGACGACTTCTTGGCGCCTGAACTGCAAAACTTTCCTGGCTATAACCAAAGAACATGGTTCCAGCAGGACGGCGCAACGTCACACACGTCCAATACGTCTCTGCCACGAGTTCGTGAAATTTTCTCAGGAAAATTGATCTCCAGGAGATGTGACATAAATTGGCCTCCACGCAGTCCTGATTTAACCCCTATGGACTTTTTCCTATGTGGTTATCTTAAATCTTAAGTTTACGCGAATAAACCGACTTCC